CGCTTGGCGCATGCTCTTTCAGTTACCAGAAAAAAGTTCAAAATTAATCCCGCCTTGCAAAAAATTTAAAATTTCCGAAGCGTTCACGCTATTTTTAGCAAATTGGATTTTGCACATTTTCGAAAAAATTAACTTTTTATTTTCTTGAATTATTTCCAGACCTATAAAAGTATTTTCGGAAAATAATTAAATATCTCTTGAAATTTTTCAATAATTACATATTTCCAAACATGTAAGGGTATAAAAGTATATGAGTATCAATATAACTGAACGAGATCACTGTAAACTTTTGTAAGAAAACTGCCATGAGCTTTATTAATTTTAGTACTGATCATAGCCATTAAATATTTTACTTTATAGATAAGAAATTTGATAACACTTTATCAATTTTACTGATTTCATATCTTGAAACAATATGTTAGATTTACTGCTCCCATTTGCTGATATCAAACTAAAACATAAATAATTGCACATTTAATAAAATGAACAAACTTATAATTACTTAAATAGATCTTAAATAGATTCATTTAAAACTAGTTTTGCTTGAATATTGGTTTCGTATTTTTCGGAAATACCAATACATGTTTGGAAATAATTATTGAGAAATTTAAAAAAGTATTTAATTCATTTAAATCACGTGAAGTTCAAGGCGATTCTATAAAGAAAGAAACGTAACGAAATTTGTATCAATTTTTGCAAAGTGAGAATCATTAGTATATTAAAGCCGGGGTTGGTGCGGCGGAAATGACGTCATCATAGAGAGTCAACCGGAGCTTATTTCTGCCCCGTCTGAAATCGAAACTTCGTCTGCAACGTCATGGGGAGCTTATTTCTTTTTTTTCTTAAGCCTAATATATTTTTAGTTTCGGTTTCAGTTTTTAATTTAGTTTCGTTTCTTAAATATTATTTTCATTTATTAGTTTTTTTGAGGGTGGCAACACTTATTACTTTTAATATTAGTTTTTAAGGATGGCAACACTTAGAGACTTTGTTACTTGGGGAGATATTGTATATTATGAAGTTATGACGTCATCTCTTATTACACAATAAAAAAATGATATCATACTTTTACTCTAGTGGCGCCATCTAAGTGAGTATTTTAGAAATAAAATAACTTTAAATCTATTTTAATATTTAAATCTGTTTTAATATTATTTATTAAATATAATTAAGGCTGAGGATCGAACTCACGTCAATTAAAAAGCCTTCGTGGGTCAGTAGTTGGATATCATATCCACTGACCCACGAATGCTTGGTTAGATATGTGTTTTAGTTATTTTTTAATATAAATATAGTTGATATAATAGACTTTAATCATTATTATTAACCTAATCAATATTAATTAATACATTTTAAATAAATTGATTTAATATTAAAAATAAAAATTGTATTTATTAAGTATGTCTACTGTGAATATTAAAAGTATTAGACTTAAAGGCATATTAATTTTAAATCAATGAATATTATTTTATAAGATTTTATTTTATCATCTTCGTTTGGATTTACGGCTATCAATATAGTCTTGTCATTTTTGAACCCAGAAGACAAGGGAACTCATAGATCTTGAGACAATGCATGCCTTCGAAGTGGACTTTGTGAGTACCCATGTTATATGAAGAGGAAAACCACGAAAACCTCCTACGCTTAGTCCGACGACGAGTAGGGGGCTTGGTTTTTGTTAACCAGTATCCTGTGAATGTACAGAGATCTGAGGAAAAACTTAAGGTTTTAATAAAATAAATGTTATCATTTTATATATATTCTAATGGTGTCATCTATACTTAAAACTTTAGAAGTTTAGTTATTTTTTGATATATGTATAGTTGATATAAATGACTTATTATTATTAAACTATTCAATATTACCTATTATTAACCTATTCAGTAAGAAAGTACACCCTTTAATAATTAATTCAAAAAAGTTTCAGAACAATATATAGAATTTTCTGAAGAAAAAAAAACTAGAAAACATAAAAAAACTTTCTTTGAAAAACTAGAAATATTTTACAAAAAGCAAAAATATTTTACTAAAAGATAGAAAATTTTCATAAAAATAAGAAATATTTTCTGAAATGTTAGAAATATTTTTACAAAAATAAAAACATTTTCTGAAAATTGGAAAATGTTAATAAAAAGTTTGAAATATTTTTACAAAACTAGGATATTTTTTACAAAAAGCAAAAATATTTTACTAAATGATAGAAAATCTTCATAAAAGTAAGAAATATTTTCAGAAAATTGGAAAATGTTAATAAAAATTTGAAATATTTTTACAGAACTAGGATATTTTCTACAAAAAGCGAAAATATTTTACTAAAAGATAGAAAATCTTCATAAAATAAGAAATATTTTCTGAAAATTAGAAAATGTTAATAAAAAGTTTGAGATATTTTTACAAAACTAGGATATTTTTTACAAAAAGCAAACATATTTAATTAAAGATTTTAAATTTAAGATTTTAAAATGATTACTTTAAATTAGATCAATAAATATTTACTATAAAATTACTTTAACATTAATTTTAAATCATGAAGATAGGAGAATCCGTTGGTTCTATGAACCATCCAGAGTGTGGGACGAGGACTTTTCTCCTGGTGCACTTCGCGGTTATTAAAGTGGACGTCGCCACTGCTTTTTTCTAAGTTGGTATAGCCTCCACTGCTTTTTTTAAGTGGATATAGCCTCCACTGCTTTTTTTCAAGTGGGTATAGCCTTCACTATGCACGCTTTTTCAAGTGGGTCGCCTCCACTATGCACTCTATTTTCCACCTCTTTCTGCGCTAAGGATTATCGCAGGATTCAAAAAAAAAAAAAAAAAATAATAATAAGTAAAGAATTAAATGTAGACTTTACAACACGAAAATCTGGAAAAGACAGTACTACAAGAAACATAATATAATTACTTTAAGATAGTGATAAAAGTAACCATTGGGAGTTGTGGAAGCTGTATTTAGTTGAGATAATAAATAAGCGTAAAACAAGCAAAAAGAATAATTCCAGTTAAAACTTACATCATCAATTTGTGGAGGAGGCGGTAATTCTTCAACATATACTGAACCACTACTGGAAAGGTCTGGTTTAGACTGATAATGAAAATAAATTAGATGATATTAGGAGGGGGGAGAGTTATTTTCAATTTGAAAATAGATTTAAAATACTAAAATAAAATTATTACCTCAAATCCCGAACCAACTTGGTTATAAAGTGGTAAATTCTGAAAAACTTGTGAAGCTTCTATAAAACCCTGAGTAACTTCACCCATTAATGAATCATCGTCTTCGAAGAAAGTTTGCGTAGTTTCCCCAATTACGTCTTCACTTTCAAGAAATTCTTGAGGCAAACCGCCTAAGAACTAAAGATTCTAGTTGTTGATTAAGAATAATTATGGCGAATAAATTTAATACTTAAACATGTTGAATAAATTTAATAAATAAAAATAATATTTTTAACTCAAAGATAAAAACAAAATACAAACAATGATTACCTCATCATCTGACTCGTTAAAATCAAAACCTGGTTCACTGAAATTAAATTCAGTCCCATCATCACACTATAAAAACAAGATAAAAATTGTTTTAAAATCTTTAAAAATAAAAATAACAAATGAAAGTAATCAGAATAAGCAATAAAAATTAACTCATTAATGTTATAAATAAAAATTAATAAGTAAACGCAAATAAATTATTAATTGAAATATGTAATTGTAGCATACAAATAACTTGTCTGATTTCATAAATAAAAACAATTTATTCATTCAAATATACAGTTAATTTACAAAAATTAAATTCAATAAATAAATCGAAACCTAAAGATAAAACTCAAATAATTAAACTTAGTCGTATAGGTTAAGATGGTTCAGAACCCATATACAGAAGAAATATTTAATAGTATGTAAAATTAAGCGTATGTAGTATTATAACGAATAATTGTTTTTGAGATGCTTCTTATAATTTTAGAAATATAGAAAAAACATAATGTGCAAATTTTTTTTAAAAAAAGAGGTAATTTGAATAGAAAATGTTTAGTGAAATAATGAGGAAAAATATTTCTTCATTAAATCTACAGAATGTACTTTATGGATATGTTTGCAAATAGGATGATTGTCTGAGCAACCACATTTATACACATGCATACAAAGTTTCAAGCAAGGTAATTTAACACACTTTGTATAACACTCACTTATGCTGAAACATTCTTCTTTAAGTCTTTCCACTTCATACTTAACATTACTTTCCCTTTGGGACTTCACTAGCCAGGTCTTTTCTGATATTCCTTCCACATCTTCGTCTTTTATTTTCATCCCATCACAATGACGCTTGTAATATGTAGGAGGATGCGAGCAGTGAGGAATACCCACTGTCTTCTTTAATTTATGTTCCGCATACGTTGTAGGGTATCTACCACTACAAAATTACAATTACAATTCACTAGTATATAAGACGTGTTAACTCGATTCTATGACGGGGTACCTTTTCATAGATGACGGTTGACATGGTCGATTACTCCTCTTCCCACATTGGTGACCTTCGGACGTGATGTGAACACGCCTACCTTGGCAAAAACGCCCACTTCGATATGAACACGCCTATCTTGACAGTAACGCCCACTTCGATCTGGAAACGCCTACTTCGATGAATGATCCACATTGAACAGTTGACTTGCTACTTGTGACTGCGACATTATCCACCTCCTCACGCTGTTGCTACTCAGTCTCGTCTCGATCACTCACAACATCTGCTTGCACGCACTCGACTGCTAACGGCAACACAGGGGCGACTGCGACCGTGAAGTTAATACACCTCTCACATTCAGCACTCAAAAAATACGGTGATCTTAATACAGCTCTCAAGGCTTCTCACAAAAACAGCAATGAATCAACTAGTGGTATCCATTCATCGAATTCTATCGCAGATATAATTCTGGTGGGGGAGTACTGTAGGGTATCTACCATTACAAAATTACAATTACAATTCACTAGTATATAAGACGTGTTAACTCGATTCTATGACGGGGTACCTTTTCATAGATGACGGTTGACATGGTCTGTAACTCCGCCCCCCATATACGTGTCTTCTTCTATCTTCAAGAGAGTATTAATAAGAATGTCTATTCTACGATTGAACTTGCGCTTTAAATAGTGTGTCTTTAATTCATTGCGAAAAGATTCAGAGTACATATTTGTGTCAGTATTAGCATGCGGAAATTGAGGGTGACACATACTCCAGATAGGTTTTCTGTCCTTACTACAATAATTGTCAAAATAATTTACAAATATAGGCGCCTTTCCAATATACCTTCTTTTAAAATCGTCTATCATTTGATTAAATCTACTAATTGATGGTTCCTCTAAAATTACAATTAAATATGCATATATCTCTTGCCTCAAAACTGCATCAGAAACTGAAGAATTTAACTTTCTGTTCCAAGCCCTGTGAATGTGCCACTTACATAAAAGATGGTTTACTTTATCTCCAAAAACTGCCTGAAATGCGGGGCCAGTAGTTTTGTCATCATCAGTCATAATATTGTTTACTTGTAAGTCCTGGATCCTGTCTTTAATGCTAGCGAAACAAATAGTCATCATATCCTTATCTAATTTACTTATAATAAAATGAGCAACTGCATAACCACACCCATATTCATCCTGCAGTAATAAATTAAGTAAATAAAAATCTTGCTCATTAGTTTTATGTGTAGAATCAATGCATAAAATTTTACCACCACATGCTACTAACATCTCCTTTTGCTGAACCATCTGTATACCCACGACAAATGAATCCTCTGGTAAATTAATTTCCTGATATGAAGGACCAAAAACAATTTCTTGAAACTGTGGTTTATGCAATAGTGCAGAATTATACGGCCACTGAAGCATATCATTTACTAAACAGTGAACAGCAACTGCATCCTCTCTATGCAGCAGTGAAGAGGATTTGACTGAGTCATAATAATATTTTAAATTTTTGTTAGTAAGGAGAGACTCTTTAATAATAATATTGTCTTCACCTCTAAGGTTCCTGTTGCCTCTAATATTTTCTATAACCCTTGCTGCTGGAACACCTAGTTGAGCATTTGTTTTAACGTAATCTCTAAAAGTCTTCTTTATTGGCTGGAACTTAATATTTTCTTCTGTTAATGCGTGATTACGTTTAGTAAAATACAGCACATTAATTTCCCCTGAATTTTCACTGCAGATTATTCTGGCCATACAACCTACGTCTGTAGGTAAAACTCCTTTTATATTTTTACGACTAGTCTTTCTTTCATGAAATTTTATTGCTGTTCTGGAAAACTGACAAGAATAATATGAGTAAGAATTTTTTCCATGAAGTTGCGTGCCTTGATCCTTCTTAAAACTAGAATATGTTCTTGATGATTCTTCATCCATCCAAGTATTAAAACTCAACATGTCTTTAAAATTCAACGTTGTTACATTCATACCTATATCATGTTCATCGATACTATGCTTCACAGCATGTGTAAGGAAACGAAACCTTGCGCTGCAATCTTGAAATGTTAAATCCTCAAGTTAAATCCTCTTCTCCGCAAGTTAAATCCTCTTCTTTGTTAACAGTACTATTATTACCTTTAGAGAATTCACAACTGTAACAAACAAGTGTAATGAAACATATGAGTAATTTTATAAATGAAGCTAAAAAAAATGAACATAAAAATGAAGCTAAGAGTTATAATATCAAAACAAAACTAGAATGAAAAGAAATTTCCTTACCTGCTACTCTCTACAACTTGTTTTAAACCGTCTCTCTCTTTAAGCATAGTATCATTCACTGCCCTTCTACATCAAGAAATTAATATATATATTTACACACTATACAATGNTATATAAAATAATAAAAAAAATGTGAACACAAGATAACGAGTAGATAAAAAAAAAATTACCGATTAACTAAGCACTTAGATTTCAAACTCCTATTTCTCTTACAATCTCTCCCTTTTACAATAGAGACTGACACTCTTTCTGAACTAAATACAAAAATGACACAAATAAGAAATCAGCAATTGACACATATAGTATAACCTGCACATAGCTCAAAAGATTTTGAACCCTATTTTCACATATAGTAGGAATAAAAAATAATAACAATAACCCAGATAACTCCACAACTTATATTATCTTCATTATCAGCATCTCTTCATTCAGCAGTAAAACTGGCATTGTTAGAAATTTTACAATTTTAATGAAACAAATAAATAAATCTCATAAAACTTTTTAAAAAGGTTCAGAGTTATAAAATCAAATCAAAACGACTAGGATAGAAAGAAATTCACTCACCAACTAGTTGCTACATTCAACTTTATGTCCTCTTCAAGTACAGCATCATTGACTGCTTTTCTACATCCACAATACAATAAAAAATAGATAATACAATTAAAAAAAAAGTCTAAAATAAATCACAGAGCAAACAAGTTCAATCACAAAATACATAAAAATCAACACTTACAGACTTTCAGAGCACTTAGACTCAAAACTGCATTTGCCTCCATATTTTTTCTCTTTTGCACTAGAGGTTGCCGTTTTTTTACATCTAAAATATAAAAATATAGGCATGACTGCTTACATGAAAAGAAAAAAAAAACTAATAGACATTAATAATTTCCTTCTAGCTATAGTGTAATGCCCAAAATATTAGAAATTTTAATGGGCATTTCTTACAACTAATAAAATGAAAAAAATTCGTTAAAATTAGCAAAGATAAATAAACTGCAATATTTTGCGGCAATTATTAAGTGCATCTACTCAAACATATTTGTATGCTCTTTGTTAGCTCATTATATCTTAACCTTAAGACGAAATTGTGAAATTTTCTTTCTTCGGGAGTAATATGGAGTTAGCAAATAAAACTAATTACAAACCTCAGAATTACACTTTACTTTATTATTTACAATGATATGAGAAATTGAAATCAATCTCTGCATAGAATTAGAACAGGAAGCAAATACTAACCCAGAAACTTTAGCTCCAAAACTTGAAAACTTATCGTTAGCAACTATCCTGCAATCATTCCCTTTAGAGTTTTTGCAACTACAATGGAAAAATAAATAAATCAACAATAAAATAAAAACAAATAGGTTTATTTCATACACAATTTTAAAAAAAATCAACAAACTCAAATGATGAACAGGGTTGAAAAATATCAAGTCTAAAGATTAAATTCCCAGAAAACTAATAAAAGGCTGAATTTCAGAATATATAAAAACTGAACATTCACTGCCTGGTCGACTTCTTAAACTTTTCCAAGCTTTTTGTAACCTCCAATACAGTTGGAGTGGCTATTTTTCGACACCTGTAACACAAAAATAAACATGATTAAAAATTAGCCATTGGAACAGTTCACACCAATAACCAGCTTGTTCCTCAAATACGGACTTTGTGGAAAAACTTTTACCATTATAAATTTTACTTTCGCAGACAAATTTTTTTTTTTTTTTTGCGTTGATATGCACGCTGTTGAGTAGGTTTGCAACACAATTCAAATGAGAACTATAACTTTAAAATATAAATTCTTCTTAGGTTCTAGAATTAATAAATGATTAAAAAAACATTGAAAAATAAATACTTACAAATTAGTTGATCTGTCAATACTTCTCCTTTCATTATCCACATCAAAAGACTTTACAGAACTGAAAAAAAAATTTCTTTTTAACCATGAGATACATTTTATCATGAGAGAAATACATAACAATTACAACCTAGTTGGCAAATACTAAACACAAAGAGAAAATAGATTTCGTAAATTTAAAACCCACTTACACGTCTGAAAATTCAATTCTTTTACATCTACGTCTGAAAAATAAATAGTTGAAAAAATTATTATAGCATAATCTGCAATAAATTTTAAAGTGAATAAACTAGATATTATATAAAAACTAGCTGTACCCTGCGTGCGTTGCAACGCTTTCAGTTTGAATTTAAATTTTGTATTTAAGTGTGTAAATGAGATTTGTGATTATGATTTGAATAGAGAATTTTATTTAATGGTGAAAAAACCAGTGATAGTCTCAACAGTTAATTCTCTAGGATATCGTTAGTGCATTTTCAAACAGACATGTATGGTGATGCACACCGACCATGAAACATATTTTGGATGATGATCTGAAATAATTCTGGATCAATGGCGTCATGAATATTTCTGCTGATATGAGCTGACCAATTTGTCCTGGTGTGAGTTTTTCAATAAGCCAAATCATGTGGCAATTCTCTTTTTCTGCCGTTCAATAGAATGCATCAAACACCGTGTCTCTCTAAAAACATGACTTTTCGCAATAAAACCAAGTTTAGAGCTTAATATTTGTTTTAACTCACGTGTGATAATGCATCATGAAGATCCGATGATGTTTGCCTAAGTTACTAAAGCTCTTTAATTTTAGCTCAAGCAGGATTGCATGTGAATGTAATAAATAACTCTAGCTGTCCATATGCGCACCGATACTTGTAGCAGCACCGAATGAAGTCATTTGGAAACACGAATGTACTGACCTATATTCGCCAAGAAAAGTTTCTATTGATTTGCTTGACCCGATAACAACGTTGATAATGGCTCGGCTGGCGACGTTAAATCTGGTAGTTACACTTTGCCTCCAGAACAGCAAATTCCAGCTGTTTCATTCTTAAATTTGAGAGCACTACAAAACATACATAATTGATCCATTTTTCCGATGATGACGCTTGGGTGAAAGACTATAGTTGGTTGTCGGATCATAGTGAAATGCACTGAGATTCAAATCAGAGTATTGGCAGCGTCTGAATAGCGAAGTGCGTTCTTGATTGATTTTTATTCTTGCATCCCGTTGCTCTGATGTTTCCGACGAACGGGCTTGATAAGTGCGTAGTTGATTTGTTAACAGTCTTCTTTCCCGTTGCTCTGATGTTTCCAAGGAACAGGCTTGAGTAGTGCGTAGTTGATTTGTTAACAGTCTTCTTTCCTGTTTCTCAGACGTTTCTAAGGAACGGGCTAAAGCATTGTGTTCTCGATTAGTTTCAAGTCTTTCTTCCCGTTGCTCCGATTTTTCTGAAACACGGTTAGTTCTCTTCTTGCGTGCTTGAGATGTTGATCGACTAAGAGCGATTCGTTTAGGCGGCATATTTTTGCAAATATTCTCTTTCAAACAAAAAGAAATGTAGAAGTTGACAGTGGTCGCAAATTTGCTAATTCGAAAATTCACGTATTTATTTTAAATAATAAAAAAGCAATAAAAATGAAATAAATTAAATAAGAAATATAATAATGATAAAATTTAAAACAAAAATCTATTTTTGGTAAAAATATACTTGTGGGTGCCCCTTGACGAAATTGGTAACTTATGTTTATCACCATTCCTGTTTGCGCGGAACACCGCGGTAACAGGAATGGCTGCCAAAACATAATGATATTTTAATAATACATTGGAAAATTTCAGCAAGACATCGGCCAAAACTTTATAAAATTGCAATGAACCCAATGTAAGCAAAATTAATAAACCCAATAAAATGCATTTTGAATCGAAATAAAAATTAATGGAGTAAGCACAGAAAGAAAAGGAAAAAAAAACATCTCACTTATTCATTAAGCTTGAATTTCCTCAGTTTTAGGTGCACAGAATTCTCTAATAGCAGTTAGATACTGTCTAAATTTATCATGAATAGAATCTGTGTTCCTCCATCGCCACATAAATTCGGCGAAATACGAATTGAAAATGGCGTCTGTGGTATCGGAATGGCGGTGACATTTTTTTCTAAAGTCCTTTTTTTATGACTGCCCACATACCTTCGATCCTATTGATCAGAAGCAAAAGTAACCTAACCAGCCGGTATCCAACATAGAACTAACGGACTTCTGAAATTACATATACCGTTGAACATTTAAAAATAACGCTGAAATTTAAACGAATCAGAATCACGATTGGGATTCAACATCGGCCAGCTTGGAGATCAACCGCTATCACAACTTGGTGAGAATCAAGGGGCACCCTCAAATATAGTCTACTCCTATTTTTTAAATGAAATAATTAAAATGAATGTGAATTCGCAAACTTTGTAATAATAAACAATCTAATAGTTTTCAAATGACAACTGTCAGCAATGAAAAATTGCATACTAAATTGAGCTAAAATTGCATACTAAATATAAATAATTATTAAAAGCGTGCAAGATGAATAAAATTTGCTTTTGCCTTGATTTTTATTAAACAGTTTTCACAATACTAAATCCGTGATACGACCAATAATTACGAAACTTATTCTCGTTGATTTTACGTGCTTGTGCTCACCTGAAATAAAGAACCGAATTATGATTAAATATTAAAGTATATGTAATTTACTTTTCTAAAAGAATAGAGCTATAAGATAGAAAATATCACTGTTGTTATCTTCAAGATATTTGAAAACTGATTCGTGTACAGCAAAATTTAAAACAATGGCTAACTTTTAACCAATCAGAAAATTCCATTTCGATTTTCGCTGATACCGCTGGAACGGTTTGTGGCAGAATGTTCTATTGTGAATCTAAACCATTCTCGAATCCTTCTGAAGGTACACAGAAAATTTCATTTAAATCAGTCCAGCCGTTTAGGAGGAGTTCAGTGACATACACACGAACAGTCGAAATATATATATAAGGATATACCTTCGAACAACCAGAGTCCAACTTTCATCAACATCATTACTACTTTTCTTTTCTTCAGACTTAACAGGTAAGTTGAGTGAAGGTACTGGCACTGATAAGCATTCACTTGGGGGAGTATTTTCTTGTTTAGCACACAGAACATCTCTGAAATTATAATTATAATATTAAAACTAAATTTAACAGAACAAAATAATAATTTTGACAAGTAAGAGGAATGGGATTAACTCAATTATTAGTTTAATAGAAACCAAGGAAATAGTTCATTGACCAGATCTCTACTAATGCAAGTTATAATAGGATATGTTGAAATTATTAATGCAATTAAGAGAAAAATACAACGCAAGAACCTCAACAATTTACCTCTTCAAACCTTTCTTTAATATATCCGAGTACAATTCTTGATCTTTCAACTGAACTTCAGATGTTTTTTTCTTTTTCGGTTTAGTGCTCAGCTTACCGCTACCAACACTCGTTGTTTTAACACAAGTAACATTAGGACACAAAGAAGCTACAAAATATAACGAATCTTTATTTCAGTATAATACAATATAAGTTTTATTTGACAGATAAGAAAAAAACTTGACTGATATGAAACTTGACAAACCACAACAAAAATCTGAACCAAACTTGTCTGTGATCTTAACAATGAGCAAATCTAGCCTGGCAATGCAAGAAAGCAAACTAATCACCATTGATTCTTTCAGATATAGCACAATCGACGTGGTCTTATAGTTTCGAATAGTGAAAACAAACAATTGAAAATAAAGATTCCAGCAAAATAAAAACCTTTTGAATTATCTAATTCATTCAATGACCAGCAGAATGTGCAATTTAAAAAATTAACGTTTACTAACAAGAGAAAGTCATTTGCTAGACCACTATATAAATTGTCAGCCACATTACAAAAGTTCTAAATAAATCACACTTAATATGAAAAATTCATTTGATATGAATGATATCTACAAATTTCAAATGATTAACATACCACACTTTTAACAGTGTTACATAAATATTAAAAATATTCATAAATACATATTTTAGAAAACAAATTTTAACCAAAATCTTCATACCTGTTTTGGATTTCTTAATCCAGGCAAAGTAGTCTGTCAAGATATGTGTGACATACTGGCCAAGTGCCTCATTTCCAAGCCTATTGAGGTGTACTCCATCTATTGATAAATAGCTATCCCAATTTATTCTCGGAAATGAACAAAAGTGCAGATTTGGACGATTTGCTGTAGAGGTATCCAGCATTTCATTCAAGTTTTTCGCATTCTTATTCCACTGCCTAAGACGAATACGCTCTGAAAGTCTCTGTTTAACATCAAGGAATTGACTGGGCAATCTTGTGAAAACTTTTGTGATGAAAATTTCACTACTTGGATTATACAATAGAATCTCTCGAAGCAATTTTTCATACTGTGTCAAATTCGTTCTGCCATCTGCAGAGCAATCATTAGAACCTGAAATTAAAATTAACAATATTTATATATAAAATAAAACAATTATGAAAAACTGCTTGTACTAAAGCAGATTTATATCTTTATAAATATAGCAGTGAAGAACCCTTGCAATATATAAAATAAAAAAAGGAAACAATATTGAGTGTTTCAGCAAATTTAAGTATACTTTATTTAAAAAAAATAAAATAAGAAGAATGAAATCTACAAATCAGAATTCGCGTTTTGCAGTTGAATGCACTTTCTTGGAGTTCTTGGTGTATATACAAAATAATAGGGAAACTAAAAAAAGTATAAGCATTGAAAAGATTGCTAGAGAAGCACAATCTTTCCTAACAAATACAACTGTTTCATTTCAATTTGAAAAGCATAGCAGAAAATACACATATTTTCAGGAACTTTCTCATAATTTATTCAAGATATAACAACTAAAAAATTACAAATTTACTATTCATAGACAACCCATTTTTTTAAACACAACCAGAGTAATTAGGATCAGCAGTTTCAGTCTATTAATAAATAGATAATAAAAATAAACGTTTAACTTTTAGATTCTAAATGGGAACTAACTTTTGATAAGACACAACAAGGACACCTAATTTCTTAAGTCTAGAAGGATCATGGCATAACCAATTTATGTGAAATTAGACGAGGTACTTACCAGTATGTAGAACAATCACATCGAAACCACTGAACTCCTTTATTTCCTCGATTAAACCTTCAATCTTAAATCCTGGAAAGCTATCAAGCTGCATATTGTGACTCAGAATTACATCAGGAAGATGAGGTTTCAAATATTTTAACATTGAATCCCCGATTACTAAAGCCTTCATCTAAATGAAAATTTAGGTCAAAAAAATTACATATTAGAAGAAAATACTCATAACATGCTTTAATGAAACAAATAATAGATCACAGAGTGTGTTATCTAATTAAATTTTTATAGTTTATCAGCATATCTTTTTCATACATTAAAATGATTTAAATGTTTTTTAAACATTTAAATTTACTATACTGAATTTAATTGTAATTAATTTTAAAAAATATTTTTGATTTTAATGAATGAAACAAAATTAAGAGCTTAAAATTACACCATTATATGATTGAGTTAAGCATACAATATTACATGTATTATACAATACTGAGTTATAAATTACACCACGTGTTTTAATAGTTAAACAGATCACATGTTTTTTGTAAGCAAATGCATGCCCGCCACCCAAACACATTTTGCTATAACAGTCTAATATATGATATTCGATGATACAACACAAAAGATTTATATACCATTATATGTTGCAGATTTATAGTCATACATTATTTACTGAAAAGTTACGCGTTTATATTGAATAATACATAACATTAACATTCAAGCGATTACAATATATAACATGAGAAAAGGTAACACGTGATAAAATAAATAAATGAATAGTATAGAATAGAATATTTTAAATTCAAAACTAAAAATAAAACTTTAATTAAACCTTTCAACATACCATAATATATTTGATAACATGAATCGAATTCTTGCATGAATTAAATATAATCTCGGTTTGTTTATACTAGCTATAAGTTATTTATTAAACATTTACACATGCATAGAAGAAAAAAAAACACTTAACTACATCAATAGTCGAACGATTTTAATATTTATAAATATAAGATTGTAATAAAGATGGACGTGATGTAATAAAAACGTGATGTAATAAACAAATAGGTACAACATAAAAATTGAATATTTTTTAAATTCAAAACTTATAAATAAATAAACTTACCATAAGAGACTTATTATATTCTCTAAGTCTTAAAATCAAGTATTAATTACTAAAGTTAATAAAACCAGTGTACATCAATATCGAACCAAACACGTGCTTCAATGAACTGCTGCACTACACTTCAATGGAGCCAAAACACAAAGCAGGGCAAAAGCACTGACTGGCGACTAAAACAACAAATAATGTCGCCACGAGAATTAAAATAGTAACCTTTTAATCGTTGCCACCATATAAAACAGACCTTCACTTCCTTTCACTCTTATGCGAATATCTACAAAAATCCTCCCCAAGTAACAAAGTCTCCAAGTGTTGCCATCCTTAAAAACTAATATTAAAAATAATAAATGTTGCCACCCTCAGAAAAAACTAATAAATGAAAATAATATTTAAAAAACGAAACTAAATTAAAAACTGAAACCGAAACTAAAAATATATTAGGCTTAAGAGAAAAGAAATAAGCTCCCCATGACGTTACAGACGAAGTTTCGATGGCAGAAATAAGCTGCGGTTGACTTTCTATGATGGCGTAACTTCCGCCGCCCCAACCCCGGCTATTACTACTTTCATTTGAAACTAATATTAGAATTTGAGTGTCTTATTTTCCGAAAATACCTCTACATGTTTAGAAATAATTAAACAAAAACATAAAAGTTCATTTTAGTCGAATTCATTTTAGTCGGGTCCAATGCATAGATAGTGTGAAAAATAAAGTGAACACTAAGGAAATTTTAAATTTTTTGCAGAACGGGATTCATTTTGAACTTTTTTATATCATAATTTGATTGTCATATTTTTCCAAAATACCCATACAGATCTCAAAATATTTATAAAAAGATCTTTGAAATCTTACATAGTCTGAACTGGCTAAGTCATGATCTTGTAAGGCACTAAGGTAAAGCTAAGGTAACCGGAATTATTTTAAAATTTGTTTTGATTAAGAAAGCGACCATCACATTTTTTATAAAAAGAGCCGTATATCTCTAGAATTGATTATAGAAATATTTAAAGAAATATAATTTTGACCATAATATGCAAAGTTCAGAGCATGCATAACTGAAACGCTGGGGAGGATAAATAGTTTCTTTTCCAAGCGTATTTATTTAAATTAAGTTTAACATTTAAATATGGACATTATATTTATCAAAAATACTTATGTATCTAAAAATACTGAAAGAAAACTTTTAAGCAAGTTTCAGTCCAAAACAGGTAATGCTCAAGAACAAGTTGTTGTAGAATGTTTCAGTGGCGAATGAGTGCATTAAATAAAGAAACCATATTTAATAACAAACAAATTTAATCAGCAATAAAACAATATATTATGAAATGGGGCTCTCCAATGAACCATTCAGTTCAATCCATTGCCTGCCAGAATGTTTCAGTGGCGAATGAGTGCATTAAATAAAGAAACCATATTTAATAACAAACTAATTTAATAAACAATAAAACAATATACTACGAAATGGGGCTCTCCAATGAACCATTCAGTTCAATCCATTGCCTGCCACACAAGTGATTACAGAATTATTGTGAGTGATTACAACGAACCGCTTCTGATCAGGCAGAAATTAATAACACTTTCCACCTGAACTCTTCTGAGTTCACTTACCATAAATTTGCATAAGAAAATTTTTTTCAAGAACAATATTCGTTGAAATATAGAATCAACAATTTATTAATTTATTACATTTTAAAATTAAATGAATGTTCAATAATTAAGATAACCATATAAAACAATCAATTATAATATATGCATATAATCAAATATTTTTCTTACACTTTACAATGAACATTTTTGTTTAAAGGTTAATTTCCAAATTACTTACAAGTTGAACTGAGCGTCAACTGAGCCTCCTTTAGAAGTTTTTATCATAAGAGAACGAATCTCGCCCCTGATACCAAAATTCTTCCCAGCATCCACATGTTTCCGGGATAACGCTCATCATTGATAAAAACAATATTTCAAGTCAAGAATATTAGAAGAGACAATTACTTTTTTTTCTTTTTTTTTCCAGTTTTTGAAAAATGGGATTCATTTAAAACTGGTTTCATACTATAATTTGAGGCTCACATTTTCTATAAATACCTATATATATCTAGAAATAAAGAAATGTAGCTCTCTTTTTTCCATAAACTTACAACCATATCGTTATCACAATTTCCAACAACACACACTACTATCATCAACCTTCGTCACCTAAGAGATGCAAAAGAACGAATATTCTTCAGATCAAGACATGGCACTGTAAACTATTTTCCAGCTCTATTTTGTTTTTCTTGTTAACGTAAATATTGTTTTGTGGGTAAATTAGAAAAAATAAAATTTTTTTACCCTAAAACCCCTATTGGCCCCTTTATTAAAGCGATCTGTGCTAGTCACCCACTATTATAAAAAAAAAGGTCATTTTACTTGTTTAGAGTATGTAATGAGGAGTTTATACCGTTTAATTTCTTACGATTTTCATTTCTTACGACTGGGTCGGGTGCAAGATTTTCTACGAAATGCACGTGAAAATATTGTATTAAACTCTTCTTTGGCAATCATTTTCACTATTCTTTGCTGCACCACAAAATCAATTTTAAGCTAATTCTCAAAAAATTATTGCTAACTTTTATACTATGTCAAGATTTCTACGCATATTATTTACAGAGTTACTAAAACTCCTAAATACAGTTCTATTTTATCTGCTATATAATTATTCTAATAAGAGAATAGTTTACGATTTTCTGCCTAAATTGTCAAAATGATGATATATCTTCCACACGCTACGCCTAATATAAAATGTATTATACTATATAATATACTATTAATGATAAATGATAACGCTCTGAATACTAATGAGTGTTTTTTTTTCAGTGTATTTTTTATTGTTAGTATTACATAAAAAAGTGTTACTGTTTGTTTTCTCTAAATTTAAACTTCATTTTCACGGTTTCAGCACACATATATATATTTTTTAAGATAAGTACTCAATTACAACAGTTTGTGCATTTTTATAAAAGTTGTTTCTGTTTAAAGTGGAATTTTATGATAAAATAATATAATAAGATAAAAATTTCAAAACTCATTTTTTCCAGAGAACTAAAAAAAGAGAAAATAATTTTATTTTTTGTTGCATCTAAACCATATTATTTTTCGAAAGACGTTGTATATTGATTATCGACAGTGATGAAGTAAATTGCGAAATTAATATGCCCCATGGTTCTTGTTGAATGTCCGACGAAAATTCTATGATTCATTTTGATGTGGTCGAAATTTCAGGAGGCGATAAATTTTGCTAGCATCATTTACAAAATAATAAAATCATCATACACAGAGCTTCAGTTGAAATTTAACCACTCTAGCTAATCGAAAAGTGATCAAAATAGTAATTAACCATAAATTTTATTTGATTACATAAATTGCGCCTGCAGAAGTCAAGAAATGATTACAAGTAATATCATCCTACTCAGCTTACTATTAAATACTTTAACTAGCTGGAAAATGGTCGAAATTCGGATTGTCAATAAATTGTTCATGGTAATATGATTATAAAATCTGCATGTAATAGCAAGAAAATAATTGAAACTTGAGATGTAATCCAGTTCAGATTCCCATTTATTATGCAAACGCTCTTGCTAATCGGACAGTAGCCAAAATTTCGATTAACTATAAAATTATTGCAGCAATAATTTTTAACAATGCAAACTTTTTACCATTTTTGCAATAATATGGTGATAAATTCTGATTATAGTGATCAGAAAATGATTGAAATTTAGATTGTCGTCAAGTACGGAGGTACCTTTATCATGCAAGGACTCTAGTAAATCAGAAAGTGGTCGGAAATTTATAGGCGTTAATTTTCCATTGGCAATAATTTCGAGATAAATTCTGCTTGTAGCAGTCGAGAAATGATTACAAATAGTATTGTTATCCAGTAGAGCGCTTCAGTAAAAATTTGAGTGCTCTATATGGTTTCAGTGTGGTCAGAAATTTGGTTGGCGTTAAATTCTCTTAAACGCTTACATCGCTATAAATTCTGCTGGCAACGACCGGAAAATAATTTAATCTGGCACGGATATTTGGCACGAAAATTCAGTATATTTTTGAGTACTAGAGATAGTTGGAAAGCAATCTAAGTTTTGACTAAAAGATTCCATCGACACAAACATACATCCATCGAAATTTCATTGCAAAGATAGCAAAATTTCACCAAGTTACTAAAAATTTAGTAAAATAAAAAGGATATTTTTACTCAGTTTCATTCAAGTGATAAAAAATTACGCAAATAAACTTTTACCAATCTAATTTTTGAAAAGTTATCAATAATTTAGTTTTTTAATTAACGGCTATTTACTTAACTTTCATTATTAACGAATCTTTAACTCAAATAACGCATAGTAAAAAAATTTAAATATTAAAGTTACAATAAAAATCAATGTCCTAGCTAAAGTTCCCAGTATTGAAAAAGAAAGTGAGATTGCAAAGAAGCGTCGCCTAGTGTGGTAAACATTCCACACGAGGCGATTGTGTGCTAAGAAAAAAATACATCTACAGTAAAAATGTATAAAGCCGAGAAAAAAGTCGCCAAATATAAAACACGACAGTTATGGCTAAATATGTAAATTTATTTTCTACTTGCAAATGTAGAGCCTAATTGCTTTGCATGACAATTTTATTTTTATTCCGCATATTATTTAAATCATGGCAAAATTGATAAAAATCATTGGAAAGTCGTAATACTAATAACCGTAATACAACATAAGCCGTAATACATCATAATACTAATGACGTCATTGTCAGACATAAAACAAGCGGGTTGCTCGAGTACAAGACGCAAATTTATGTTGCATAAAAGTAAATTTTTTTCGTTTGCACACGCAGTGCAATGACAAGGGGAACTCTTTATCAGAAGACGAATGAGGTTGAATCTTAGCTTTTTAAAGAAATGGGAGTATGTGCTTCTCAAATTGCAAAAAATAAAAATAAATAAAAAATGAAGTATATTCAAAATTCATAAGAAAATTATTAAAAATAGAAAGTTGTGATCACCTTATTATGATCACTGGTTACCCATTCGTCAAATGCTTTTTCTTTCTGGATTGACTCCGTTAAAAGCCACAACATTTCAAGTCATTTGTTGCAAAAACTGTCTCCATGGATGTTTGTCTTTGGATTGGTTTTCATATCCTTCCTATGTACGTGTTTCAAGACGTCGCAAAATACTTTTCCTTCTTCAGCATTCATACTTATATTGAAATCACCGTCAAGCCAGTAATTACAAAGAAAAAAGTAAAA